TAGGTCTAAACTGATAAAATTGCCTATGATCATGAGAAAGAAAATAATCGTCAAGTTATAAATGAACTTAAAGTGTTCGCTAGCACCTGCTTGACTATAATAAAAAAACTTTCAAAAAATTTATACAAGACATAGAAAGGGAATATAGAGAGTGGATTAGTATAAATAAGAAATTGCAATATGAAAATGAGGATCTGAAGATGCAGTTACAAGAGGTAGAAAAAAAGCTGGCATCTATAAAGTCAGATTCTTCTCATTAGTTAGGGTTATTTTTTTTCTTGTATTTCTGCAAAGTAAGATTCTGGTCAAGATTACACGCTTTCTGAAGATCAATATAAATTAAAGGTTCTCCTATTCTCTTTTATAATCACGAAAAAAGAATGTTATTTTGTAGACTCTACCTAAGGCAGAGAAGAATATATGAAGAACATAAAGCTGAACTAGAGGAGGAGAACTATCATTTTTGTAGTGAATTGCAATACTAATCGCTAAAATAAGAGACGAATTAATCAATTAGAATGGGATTATGTCTGATATAAGTGAAAAATTCAAGATCTCAATAGAAAGATAGAATGCCTTAAAAATGTTTCAGAAGAAGAAATATTAGAGTTGAAATCCAAAATCTTTAGCCTAAAAAATTAGCTATATCAAGCTAAGAAGGGTGTACAAGATAAGGATAAATATATCTTTAGCTTAGAAAAGTGGTTAGTAGAATCTAAAGAGCAGGTAGAAAAATTATGATGCTGGATCAGAAGTATCTTATTACAGAAAAATTTATCAGAGTGAAGGAATTCTCTGAATATGTATAATTTTGATAATAATATGATCACAATCATAGAGCTAGTAAATGTCATAGATGGCTATGTGAATAATAGGACAATGGCTAGAGATATTCTGATAGATCAAATAAAAAGGATAACAAGACAAATTTGTTAAAAAGAGAATAATTTGCATCAGGATTTAGTCCGTAAGTAGAGAAAGCGATATGATGTAAAGGCTAAATGAGATCTTACTATTACGTGAAGAGATTTTGCTGAAGGAGCAATAGATAGAGTTGTTGGTGATCTTTAGTAATATCAAATTAATGCTCAAAATTAGGTAAATAGAATGATAGGTAATATAGGAAGAAAGCAATCCGTATAGGTATGCTAGTACAAGAAAATTTGCCTTGCAATTACTATATTAGCGAAATGCTCATCATTTATAATGAAGTAGAGGGGATATAGGTTTATTAGAATATAATCAAGATAGGCTCTATAAGCGATATGAGAAATGGAAAAATAAGACTTAAGTAAAATGCCAGAATATTTTAAATTTGCAGTAACAAATTTTAGTATTATAGAATAATCTAACTAATTAAGTAAACATGGCAGGAATATCTCATCTATATTTTGATTGGGATGATACACTACCCTACAATAAATTACCAGATTTTATAAATTTTACTTAATAATTTATAGTAAAATTAGAACTCTGAACAGGTCAGTTCAGATCAGGTCAATCAAGTTACCTGAACTGAGAGGATCAGGTCAGGTCAAACAAAAATCTGACCTGATTTAAATTTTCATTTGACCTGACCTAACCTGACCTGATCGAATTATTATAAAACATTATTCTCAAATGATAAAATCATCATTCTCGAATGATAAAATCATTGTTCTCGAACGATAAAATCATCATTCTCGAATGATAAAATCATCGTTCTCAAACAATTAAATTATCACCAAGAATGATAAAACCATCATTCTTGAAAGATAATGAATTATTCTAATTGAACTATAAAATATCGTTTATGAATGATAAAATATCGTTCTTGAATGATAAAATATCGTTCTTGAATGATAAAAATATCATTCATAAATGATAAAACCATTATTCTTAGACGATAATGAATCATTTTAATTGAACGATAAAACTAATATTCTCAGATAATAAAAACATCATTCTCAGATGATAAAACATCATTTTCAGACGATAAAATCATTGTTCTTAAATGATAAAACTATCGTTTAAGAATAATAACAAATCGTTCTAATTGAACGATAAAATATCGTTCAAAAATGATGATTGGTTGACCTGAATTTTGTCAGGTCAGATCAGATCAGATCAACCTGTTGACCTGACCTGATTCGAAGCTCTAAGTAAAATTAAAGATCTTTAAGTTGTATAAATGTTTACTAATTTTCAATAAAAATCATCTGATTTGATAACTGATCAATTATAGTTTTTAAATATTAAAATGAAAAAAGAAAAATTTTAAAACATGAAAAACTTTTTTCATTTTGAAGTATAAGTAACTATTTTTTTATATGTTTTTTGCATTTTTTATATATAAAATTATTTTATTTATTACTTTAAAAATGAGTATTTTTTGGCATTTTATAAATAAAATATTTTTGAATTATATTTTTAAAATTATAATTAATTGGCTATTAAATAAAAAAATCTAATGTGTATTTTATTAAAAATTCATAAACTTTTATATAATCTAAAAATCTTCAATTTTACTATATATTACTAAGTAATATTTATAAAATCTAGTAATTTATAGTAGGGCAGTGTAGTATTCCAGATTTTCTTGTGTAACTTAAACTAGACTTGCAAAATTGAAAAATAGATCCAGCAGGTGCAGGGGCTAATGGAAGAGCTCAGACACTAGAACATTTAAGAAAATATATAAGAGGAAGAACCCTAGAATGGTTTGATAAAAAGATTACTACAAAAACAAATTGAAAACTAACTAATCTGACTGATGATATAGGTCAAGCCAATTTGGTTGCAATAAATGGGCATATAGCACTTCAGATAGGTACTGATAGATTAAATGAGGTGGCTGAATAACCTGAAAATGCAATAATCAAGTTAAGAGCTGTAGAAGACCCTTGAAATGAAGATTAACGTGTGACAGAAGGTTATCCTATTAACCTTTCAGTAAATACGCTAAATGCTAGTAATAGTACTACTGTAGTTGTACCTGATATTCAATTTGGTCAAACCATATGGTAGTTAAAAACTTGTTTTCCTATAGTGAAAGAAAAGCTTCAGAATATGATGTATAGAACAATTATGAAGGAAGACATAACTATAGATGAATTATATAGAAAAATAGTATGAATAGGTAGATAAGCTAACTATAGGCCTGAAGAATTACGTAAAAAGTTCTTAGATGCCTTTCACTGCCATGGTTTAAAAAAGCTGAGGATATTGGCGAATATTTACCATTAGATGAATTAGCTAAAAAGCTTTATAAGATAGAGTTATACTGAATAGCTAGATAAAATATCAGATTCGCTAGTATCTAATCAAGCATCTCAGCAAATATATAAACCTTTACCTATTTCAGCCTCACAACAGCAAGAAATATCTTTAAAAGATATGCAAAAAGCAATTCAGAACACATTAGCATAACAAAAAACTAAAAACTGAACGTTAGTAAAGAAAGTTACAAAAATACAATCACAAATGGCTCAGCAAACGCAAGTACCTATTTCACAAACAGTTGAACTTATTAGACAGTTAAGAGGTTCACCATCTTCATTGAAAACAGAGAAAGGTCTCAAAAATTATTATATAACTGAATATTTAAAAGAAGTAGGTCTACTTAATAAGAAAGATTTAGACTCAGATTATCCTGTAAAACCTTTTCAAAGACCTTGTTCACAGCAAAACAATAATTCTGCTAAATTTGATAGGATTGAAGAAAGACTTGAGGAAACTCAAAATAATGTAAATCAGTTAGCTGATCTATTTCAAAAAAAAGCATATATATGAAAATGTAAAATTTATGAAAAAACAGGTTATAGTAAAGAAAGTTGTCCAAATAGACCGATAGCTCAATCTAATTTTACTCAAACTTATTTTACACCTCTTAAACTAATAGTTCCTCCTGATTCAGATAGTGAGAAAAATAATGGAAATAGTTATGATGAGAATAATAATAGATAGACTGGATATAACCTACTGGTAAAAAAAAAACAGATAAATGATAAGTTGGCCAGTGATACTAATGCAATCTCACCCTTAGAATCTAGCCAACCTAAAATATACGATCAGCTATTGTCTAAGCTCTCACCGCTGAAACGAAAATATGCTTATCTCAAAAGGCTCAAGAGAAGGAATCGAAAGAATCAGATGAGTGGTTATCATCTTTATAATATCTGAATGCTAATATAAATAACTTAACTATTTCTGAATCTTTTTTAGATTCTAGCAATAAGTTTAGTAGCATAAATAACCTAGCAATCAAGGCACTTAGATGGAAGGCTGATAAATCATCTAATTTTACTATAAAAGGCAATTCCAAATATATCACTGATTTATTAGGATAGTATACAGACGTGCCAGTTACCTTGAAGGATAAAAGATAAGATGGTTACAGTTATTGAAAATTTTGTTTGTATTAATAATGGTGAAATAGAATTAATATTATTTTTTAGTATGTTAATCATTCGAAAGATTCAAGGTGTCCCTGAGCCAAATAAAAATCAGTTTCACATAAAGTTATATGAAAAGGCATATGTTATTCTAATCTTTAGTAAGGCTTCAGTAATTAAAGATCTGCCAAAAGAAGAGCAGGACTAAGTATCCACCAATTCTTCTAGTCTAATAAAAAAGCTTGAAAAGGCATTATTTTCTAGCATTCAATCAAATTTGAAAATCATAGGATACTATAATAATTTACATAGTCAGATTAAATAGGATGAATAACTATTTGGAAATAAGAGAATGACCTCTTGCTTTAATTTTTTCTAAAGTATTATCAGTTCTCTTATACAAATCTAAGATATCTTTAGAGAATTCAATAGGTGAAATAATTTCTTTTTTTGTTTCAGGTATTGCTTGATCCCTTAGGATCGCTTCTTTTCTTTGATCTTTTTTGCTTTACTACTTGCATTTTCTTCAAAAACTGAATCAGTATATTTGCTAATTTCAGTATCACGTATCTCATTTTCCAGTATTATAAAGACAGAATCATATTTATTTTGAAGATTTCTTTCAGCTTAACTTAAGACCTGCTCTTCATTCTGCTTATCTATAACATTCATATATTGAGTGACTGCTAAATCATTTTATTGAATCCTATTAAACTCTTGTCCTTTTCAAATTTGATATAAGCGACGATTTGATATATTATATTTTTTACTTGACTGAGCTAAAGGTTTGAACTTTATATCATAATATTGCATAATGTCTTTATAATCTGCAGGAATCAAGTAACTAGTCCTAGAACTAATATGTGTTTTAAGCTGGAATGTGATCATATTAGTAGCTAATTGCTAGAGATTTTTTTTAACTATAAATAAAAATGTATAAAAATATTGATACTATAGTATCAATATTATCAGTAATATTGTAATATCAGTAATATGTTATTAGTATTCATAAAAAATAAAGTATTTTCAGAATTGTGTGATCTCAAAAATTTGCTTATAATTTTTAGTATACTAATGATTAAGCTGAAAAAATATGTTGAATGTGCATACCTTAAGAGATATCGAGAATGGAGGGGTGGTTGAGAGTTCATTAAGTAAATATATTACCTCAGGTCATTAGCTTGGTAGCATCCGTGAATTAGAATTTGAGAAAGCCTTATGCAGTAACATCAAAACTGATTCTGATATTACTAATAATTATAAAGACCTGCAGGATATATATTTAGAGTGAGTAAAGGATTTTAATTGTATCTGTTCAGGTTTTAATAATAAGTTTAATTGGCTGAATATAGCTAATAGTGAGCTTGAAGCCAAATATACTGCCAAAATTAAATCGCTTAAGAAAAAGCTAACTTTAGCCCAAAAAGCTTCATTTGCTAATAAGGTCTAGATTCTTTTCTTGAAACTAAAATATGTGAATTAGAAGGTAAGTTAGAAGATATAGATCTAGAGTATACATATTATGATTTGGATATAATGGAAGGAATGATAGAGAGACTGGTCTAAATAAGTTCATCTAATCCCAAAGAGATCAATTCTCTCAAACTTGAATTAGATCGAGTGAAAGAGGACCTTAATTCAAAAAATTATAAAATAGAATATAAAGGAAAAGAGTCATCAAATAGCATATATAAACGGAAAATAGATATTCTGTCTTCAGAGTGATTAAAGTTAATAGATGAAAATAGATTGCTATGCAACCAGTTAATATCAAAGAAAAATACTTTGTTCTAAATAATTTCAAGAGAGGAGATTCCTTTGAAATTGGGTGATGCAGAAGCAGTACCATTGTTTCAAGAAATGCCTTTAGCACTAGTGACTGTTTCTGTTATTACAAGTTCTTTAATGACGCTGATAGTAACGTATTCCATACTTGTTTTACTACTGATTGTGATCATATGGTTCATAATCAGAAAATGGTGGAATTCACAGAAAAAAAGTAACCAATATTCTGCTTACGAAAATTATATAAATAGGAATCATACAAAATGCCTCTTAGTTAGACCAAATCATTATTATTTTCAATCCTAATTGACTACTGTATAAGTACTAGTGCAAGTAGAACTTTTTTGAATTCTTTTTTTAATATAAGCTAGTACCTTTTCTGATAAATCTTCAGGCAGATTAATTAAGATCTTTTCAGCTTGAGATATAGTCTATCTTCTCTCATCTATATTCTTTTAATTTACCTTACAATAAAAAAAAAATCTTCTGAATTATAAAATACCCTTAAATAAAAATCAGAATTATGGACTCCTGATTTAATATGAAAAAGAACTGAAAGAAAGAATTATCACCTATGAAACTTTACCTTATTGATATGGATGAGGCAATAAAGCATGAATCTTCTCGAGCAAAAGGATATGAAGCATCACTTGACTGACCTTTTTCTATACTAGTCACTGGAAAGAGTGGATCAGATAAAACTAATATTTTGGTGAATCTTTTTCTTGATAATAAAGCTGAATGCATATACAAAAATAAGAAAAGGCCAAAAGGCACTTTGTATAGGTCTAGATATATTGTATGTGATGATTTGATAGTTTGTGATTACCATCCTAATGAGCCTAAGTGAACATTTGTAAGATATATGTATGGTATAATTTCAAAGAATCTGAAAACGTCTTACTATAAAAATATACAATTTAGCTATATCATCAGAAAAAATCCTTGTATTAGAGTATTTTTGTCAGAACGAAATATAGCAATTGTTTTTGAAGATTTGTATCTTACTTCAGATCATATACAGAATCAAATTGATCAATTTTTTGAAAATGGATGATATCAGAATATTTTTTGCACATTCATAATACAGAAATGTAAAAAATGCATCTATAATTATTAATAGCTATCTTCAAAGAGGTAAATTTATTATATTTGATCTCACTAGGTCAGAAGATGATTGTCTTGCAATCTGCTTAAGGTTTGACACTTCACTGAACTTGCAAAAGGAGATAGAGGCTAGGCAGAAGCACAAGAAAAAAAGTGCCTTAGCTAATAAATAGAATCTGACTTTATAGATTTTAGCTTTTTTTCATAATTATAAAAAATTGGAATGAGAGAACTGGTTATTTATATTGATCCTCAAAAAGCTCGAGACTTAGATCAGGATCTTGCTTTACAGAAACTTTATTACAGATCTGAAAAATATTATCAGACTGCTGAAAAAATGCAAATGGCTTATAACAATGCTGGATATAAGTTTTCTCTTACAAAAATCAAAAATTGGTTAAACAAGCAAGCTTTGCATCAGATTTACAAGCTTCAACCAAAATTTATTCAGTATGCCTCCTTTAATAATATTCAATTTTTAAATGAAGTGCACCAATCTGATACTACCCTATGTTTCATGATAAAGTAGGTAATCAGATTTACAAGTATAGGGGCATTATCAAAAATGTTGTAACTAAATACTAATGTAGTTTTACATTAATTGATAAATCTTCTGCACAAATAGCTAAAACAATTTAAAAAATTTACAATGATCCTAATAATCCTCTTAATCCGCCTAAAGATTTTATTGTAAATAGAGATACTGAATATATGGGTAAATGTAAAGATTTATTACTCAGTTATAATGTTAGAATTCAGTATGCTAACTCTAAACATAGTGTAGTTATTGTTGAACATGACCATTAAGAATTTGAAAAATATGCTTATTTTCAGCAAGATGCTGAAGATTTTCATTTGCCTTTGACTGATAGATCCAGAGCAAGGATTAAGAGATTTCATATAAATAATAATATTTACAATAATACTCCTACTCGATTAATAGCTATGTCTCCTAACAAGGCTGTAAAAAGGCATTAAAAGATAAAAAAATAATAGCTAGACCTTCTGTCAAATACAGGAGACCAGTTGGTTATAATAAACTACTTTTACCTAGCTATACTGAAGTTCAGCATCTATTAGAACTCAGTAAATTAGAAGGTGGTAGAAAAAGAGCAACTGATTGCAATTGGTCTTCTGAAGTTTTTACAATTGATTCTTATTTGATAAAAGAAAACCAACCTATTCTTTATAAGCTTTATAATAATCCTAGACGCTCATTTGTGAGAGAAGAACTCCAAATTATAAAGGATGCATAATTACCCCTCAATAAATACTTAAGCATTAGACTTACCTCTTCTTTCTTCTACTAGATATATTATTTATTTGAAAGCATCACTTAAATAATCATTAATTTCAGCTCGATTGTAAACTATAATTTGTTTATTTCATAACCAATCACTTCTCAAACTTTTTTTGTTTTCATTTCCAGGCTTATTATCTATGAGAAATTTACCTAATAAGCATAGAACAAACTTAAATTATTCACGCTTGTCAAATTCTTTTTCAAGTAATTCTCTGAATTGCTTTCTTCAGCTTTCTAAAAATTTTTGTATATCACTTTCATTATCAGAATGAGATCTTGGAACTTTTGCATAATATACTGATATAGCTCTTATTTTGAGTGCTGTGCCTAATTCTTCTTGCTTTCTAAATTCTAGGTCTCTTTCTTGTTCATCAGTAATTTATCCTAAACACTTAAATTCTTTATTAATCAAATTTTTAGATTTATTACCTTTCTTAAATGATTGTATTTTAGGTTTAGGATCGCCTTCAGACTCTAATATTTATTCATATTTCTCTAACTCTTTTAATGTTGGTAAACAAACTGTCTCTGAATCATTTAATTCAAAATCATGGAAAAGGATCTTATAACCATCTAAATCATTTGCCTTATATAACTCAATACCTAATTTTTCTAACGTTTTTGCAATTTTGCTTCCTATGTCTTAATTCACTTTCTGGGTTTACGTGTATTTAGACTGACCTAGTTCTTTACCTCCTCTTCTGTGATGTAATCGACACCAAGTACTGGAACTTTCTTTTCAGGTTCTAGCTCAGGAACTGGAGTTAGAATTATCACATGTGGCTTCTCCTTATTACTCATATTTATTCTAGAGCTTTCTACCTGTATTTTGATTTCAGAAGCTTGGGTAGCCTGTTGGTTTGCTTTTTGAATAGACACCTGATTTTGTATTTAAATAGAAGCTACTTCCTTTTACTTTTGTAATAGTTTGCATGGATTTTTTTGCTTAAGATGCTCACGAAGTTTTAAAGCATTGAACATTTATGATTACAATATTTACAGATTGTATCTTTTTATCACTTCTTGTTTTTTTAACTATGGTGTTAGCTCTAATTATCGCGCTATTATTTGCTTATAAAATTTTTTCTTTAATTAATTATTTTCTATTCCTTTTACTTTTTGATCACTAAAGACGATGTTTGTAGGCTTATTAAAATAGTTCTAGCTATCTTCCCGAAACTGAAGCATTAACTATTTATTAATTATTCTTTCGATATTTAGTGATATAAAATAGGATGATCAGTGAATATTCCTGCTTATTTCTCTATAATACTAGAAAGGTTTGTAGGAGAGCTTCTACTAGACCTGTTGGATGCTGATTTTATTGAAAATTAAAAAAATGGTTACCATGTTCTGATTGTGATAAGCCAACTGCTTTTGCTTATAACCAATGCTCAGATCATATCAGAGACTATTATGTTATTTAGTTTTATAATAGGTTTCAATCAGAAAGTTTTTGATTGGAGATACAAGAAAGGTTTTGATTAGAGATACATGAAAGACTTTGATCTGAAACAAGAGAAAAAACTTATAAAGAAATGATACTTGCCTATAGTGATGCATTTGCAAATCTTAATATTTTTCTTTGTAAGAAATACCTCTATTTGATAAAACTAGAAGAGGGAGAATATTGTGATAGATGTTGGCCAAAATAAATGGAAAGATTATTTCAGCTAATTCTTTACCTAAACTT